AAGGTCCCTTCCAACTCTGCTATTGTATTAAGATTTTTCCAGTATCTTGAAAAGATCTTTCAAACATTGGTTATATGCAGTTCTATAAAGATTTCTAATATAGGAATGTCTTAAGAGTTGGTTTTATGGAACGATGGCACTGTTTCTAGAGGCAAAACTCCTTGGCTTAAATAAAAATCTGAATATATCACAGATTCAAATCCAAATTTCTGAAAAGCGAAAGCTTTTAATAGAATAAAATGTATTAATTCAATTAATGTTTTAAAGTTTTTCATAATGTAGTTATTATAAAAGTATAAATATATTTTATTTCTACTCTTAATGAATATCTGAATTTTTCCAAGAGAGGTATAGGGAGAAGAATAATCCTCAATTTACATCCAGTTGCTTAGTGACTGTGTGAAATTATGACAGACTCTTCAAAAGGTACTTATGATCCAATTTTGAACGAATGATGGCCACACTCCTTCCCATGGTTATGTAATTACACTTGGCATGATTGGCAACTAGTTTATCTTTATAATCTCTGCAGCATCTTGTCACATTACTGCAATTTTTGATGGAGTTTTTTGCCGATTTCTGATATTTAATTCTGGTTTCCAGCAAAAAAAAAAAAGAAGTTCATTGGACATAATATATTACCTTAATGACCAGGCATTCACTTACCCATGGTATCTGCTTAATGATTACCACAAAAAGTGTTATAAACTCGAGTCTGGTCAGATTATGACCTGCTTAATAACCAGAATGATTTATGACCATAATTCCAGATTCAATTGTTATTGATTTATGACTAAGATTATGTGTAATATGCTCTATCATTACAACTGGCCCAAACAGCCTTGAATAATATCTCATTTTACTAAGGAATAAATGGAACTATTGTATCAAGCTTCTGTTCGGAGATTAGGTGAACTGGGATCCAACACATCTGGAGAGTATAAAGTTGGGTTATAGGACAGCCAATGAGAGGGCTGATATTTTAAAGGAAGAATTGATGGGTGTGGAGAAAAAGGTTTATCCTTTCACTTATCTACTCAATCTCCCTTAGAGCTCTTCGGTGAAGTCAGTGTTGATGCTTGATTTTTTCAAGAAGTATTTTTTCTCCTCTAGAGTATGATATTGGAAGAAAGTCTACTTGGAAAAAGAATGGCACAGAAGAGGTTTTTTGAGAAAAGTGGAGGACACATGAGGGGTGAAACAAATCAGACCTACTTTCTACATTTAAGCCTGCTTTTCCATCCCCATCTTCCCAGAAAATGTGGAGACAATGTTTGCAGGACAAAAGAAGAACTGTTAAGTTTTTTTCTTTGGCCACCCACATTAGAGGTGGGTTGCTCCCACTTCAGCCCAGTTTGGCCAAATTAGTAGTAACAGCGGCAGGAGGCTCTTCCCACCTGCCCGGGCACAAACCCACCACTGATCCACATATACATACAATACAACTTCTCTGAGATTTAAAAATTACAGATCCCCCTTTTTAAGCCTGTCCCAATTATTTGCAATGGCAAAAATCCACATAAAAATAGCAAGCATTTATGATTTAGGTATCGATGGTTCATACAATTTTTTATTAAATATATAACCTCTTATTCCAGAATACAATGATGGAAGAGAACATTGCAACTGGTCCCCATTAAATAATAGTTGCACAAATGACAGATTTTGAGGAGAGAAAGAAAGGGTTGTATTATGTTTTTTTAAAAAGGCTTATCCCTAAAACAGAGAATCTACTTCCATTTGCATATTTTGTTCAGGTTCATAGAATTTTAAAATATTCTTGGAAACCATCTAGTCTAAAACCTCTTAGTGTAGCAATTCATGACTACAGAATCCCTGTCAGATTTGCAACTAGATCATACTTTTGAGTCATGTTTAATTTATCATTAAGACATCCAGATCTTTTTGTATTTAGAGCTACCCGACACTGCTTCGTGCTTTGATTTTTTTGTTTTTCTCACCCAAATTGAAAACTCTCGATTTTTTTAAGTTAGGAAGTCTTGATTTCCTAAATCTCTTTCCTCTTTTCATTCTTCTTAAAATGTTATCCAATTATATTCCCCACATCTTATTTTTGAGAAGTATGGTACTCTCCTGCACTCTTATGGATCCAAAGATTTTGGTTTAAGAAATTCTGTGTAGTAATTCTGTCTTGACTGAATTATTTTTTCAAGAGATGACAGAACAATGAAGTCTTCCATTGTTACTGTCCCTTTTCTCAGAAAGTTCTATAATCTAGTGCAGATCTATCTATTTTCATAATCTATAGCATTCATCATAAACATTGGCTGTTACTTCTCCTGCTATATATTCCTATTCAAATGGACTGAATCCTAATGCTCAGATTAAGGGATCTCTATATACATTTATTAAGTACTCATTAAACCATATAAAATCTTATAAGAAACATCTCACCTAATTACGTGTTTCCCCAAATATTTGATCACTGAAACGCTCTCTAATTTTATGTCATTCTGTAAGGGTTCTATCCTAAATTAGTTCTTAAATAGGGATCATACTCATTCATGGAACAAATAAACAATAATCCATAATAGAATTTTGACTAACTTTTTAAAAAGAAAATTTTGTAGAAATTTAGCAAGCGTGCCAAATTCTAGGACACTACAATTTTATAAGAACACTGTTAACTTGCTTTTTACTCCCAAATATGTCAATAATTAGATTTACTAGATTTTTAAATTCTAATTTATCACCAGCACTTGATTTTAGACTGAGCAATGCCAATGATTACATTTCTCCTGTAATCACCAAGAACATACAAACT